ACCAACCCGTGGAGATCCGTACCCTCACCACAGTCCAGGTCTTCCGCACAGCCCTCATGTTCTGGCTATCCTGTCAGGCCTGGGGATAGGATTACTCTCACCCCGCCCGAATGTTGAGTGAATGTTGTGTTTTTATGGATAATTTTCTTTTATTCACGATTCCTTTTTCTTTTTAAGTCTTGTCTTGCACTCCCTTCCCCTCATTGTTGTAAGCCGCCCTGAGTCCCCTCAGGGAAAAGGGCGGCATATAAATCCTCAATAAAATCCTAAAAAAAAAATCCTTTGGCTGTTCCTGTCCAGCATGTATGGACTGCTTTTATTTTGAGGGTGACTGCTATTTTTTCCCCCCGTTTACATATGTGCCTATTTGCACAGCTGTAGATATTGTACTGTTAGAGAACCAAAACAATTTACAGTTTGCCTAACTCAGATGCCAAAACAAAACAAGACCAAAACAATTTACATCTGCTTTCTCAGATGCTGGCAAAATTCAAAACATACTGGCTTTCCCAACACAATATGTCCCAAACAGAATAAGACACACAAAGAGAGAACTGGTCAATATAAAGAAGGAAAATTCACACAAGATGTTTAGATTTGGCCTTATTCCCAAGGCCATGTTGAATGTATTTTGTTTTCGGTTGTTAATTCAAACATACCTTGGTCTTTCCTATTTGATAGCTGTTAGTGTCCAGATTCAGCTTGTTTAACAGAGCATTAATTTCTTCCTTGGAGGCTTGGGCATTTTTGGGCAGCAACACTTGAAATTGATCAATAAAATCCTACAAAGGTAATGCATAAATAAAAGCAGATTTAGCCAATAACTCATTATCCTACAATGAATATGAATTCCTTCCTTCCTTCCTTCTCTCCCTCCCTCCCTTTCCTTCCCTGCCTTTATTATTTTTATAAATAATTGAAGATGGCAAATAGCAATGTATCCAACCCATCTTCCTCCTCCTATTTTTTTTTCACCACAACAATCCTCTGAGGGCCGAGAGACAGAATGACCAGCTCAAAGTCACCCAACCATCCCTCTTGTCTAACACAGGATTTGAAATGATAGTCTCCCGCTTTCTAGCCTTAACCACTAGACCAGCGATGGCAAACCTTTTTTGGCTCGCGTGCCATGGGGGGGGGGAGCGTAGGGGGGTCGTGCACGGGCATGCCGCACCCATAATGCAACGCGCATGAGAGCCCCCCCCCCATTTTTCCATGTTTTTTCACCCTCCCCAGGCTCCAGAGGCTTTATAGGAGCCTGGGGAGGGGGAAAGCAGCCTCCTCTGCCTCCCCGGAGGCTTCAGGGGCCTTTAGGAGGCTTCCCTGAAGTCTCTGAAGGGCAAAAAACAACCCTACGAGCAAACCGGAAGTGACTTTCGGTTTGCTCGTAGGGTCCTTTTTAGTCCTCCGGAGGCTTCAGGGAAGCCTCCTAAAGGTTTCTGAAGCCTCCGGAGGGATTAAACCGACCCTACAAGCAAACCGGAAGTCTGTTCCCGAACTTCTGGTTTGCCCATAGGGCCATTTTTTTGTGCTCTGGAGGCTTCAGGGAAGCTCCTGAAGCCTCTGGAGGGTCTCAGAGTGGGGCTCTTTTCGCCCTCCCCAGGCTCCTATAAAGCCTCTGGAGCCTGGGGAGGGCGAAAAATGGCTTTAAAAAAGGCTGGACTCAACTGGCAAGCACGCTGGCCTTGCGTGCCCTGACAAATGGCTCCGCGTGCCACCAATGGCATGCGTGCCATAGGTTCGCCATCCCGGCACTAGACCGAACAATAAATTGTAGGAGTCCTGTGTTTTAATGGAAGGCCCTTTGGAGTTAAGCTGAAGCTTTATTTCTTGCAACAAATGATCAAATTTCCTAACATACACTTACGTTATAAAATGTGAGCACTGAGTAGTCATTCCTACATGACCCATCTTTTTTTTTCACGGAGCTTCTAGGATATTTTACTATTCTCTTAAATGTGTTATGGTCATTGCCCTCATAATAGAGACTAAAAGAGTAATAAAAGATACTGATAGGACAAGATGTAGTTCCAAGATTTAAAACAGTAAAAGAGAAAACAACTTGCTATTGAAAGTGACTGATAAACCTTAAGCAGTGTCATCAGTAAGTATATCTAAGTTCAAACTCAGCACTTTCTAATTGCAACCTGAATCAAACAGTTTTAACAATTTTCAAAGAAATGTTAAAACGCACACAATCTGAAATGGTCCCTATTACATATTTATTAACCAGGGGGCCATTAAATCAGACTGCCAGATAGACAAAGGACAATATAGCAAAACATGAATAATTATTTCAACTGTCTTATCTAGACCCTGGCACAAGACCTCTGGATATAGGAAGTTATCTCTCTGCAAGTCCAGATTGAGGTAAACCAATCTGTAACTATACTATTTTTTTCCCATGAGGCATAATTTAGCTGCAAGGATTGATTGGGCTAGATTTATGTCCTTACATGCAAGTAGTAGCATGTATATACGGAAGCAAAACTCTCTGGTGTTTCAAGTACTTTGAATACAAACAACTCCAGAATCTCCCGGAACAAGTCAAAATAGAGATTGGTCTTGTTTTCTGTCCCAAAGGATCTTTTTTGAAGAGGCAACTGGACTTTCTGGGTTTTCTTTGAAGTTTCACTTCTCATCAGAATCTTCTTCAGGTATGACTGAATGGTGGGGAATTCCCCACCTCCAGTCAGAGCTGAAGAAGCTTTCCCGATGAGAAGTGAAACATCTTCAAAGAAAACCCAGAAAGTCCAGTTGCCTCTTGAAAAAAGCACCTTTGGGATAGTCATAACCTGGATGACTGAGAATCTCCATAGACATTGGTCTTGCTTTCTCTTTCCTTTTTGAGGCACTGAACCGTGAGTCAGGATAAACACAAAGAGGAGGAAGAGGAGGAATCTGACCCTGGTTTAAGGCAGCATCCTGGTCGTCTTCTGATAAATATAACTTTTCATCCTTTAGGTTAAAAAAAACCTGAATGTGTTTGGCTCTTAATGTAACTACTTAAAAAGTAAAGGGGGAGGGAGGAAAATAGAGAAAAGGCTATGACAAATGATTGAATTCATATTACAAGGGGACTCCCTCCATAAGGGAAGGACAGATTATTTCTCAAACACTTAAAGAAAACAGTATGAATTCTGAGGATGGTTTTGATCAATCAAGTGGCTTTTTCTGGACTAAGGAAAGAATGAGTGCAGAAGTACCTGGAAGTTAAATTTAGCACTGTAGCCTGATTGTCGGATTCTCACTGTTTCCAGCATTCCTGTGTATCTCAATTGCTGAAGTACCAGCCGTTCATCAAACAACAACTCCCTCTGAAAAAAAGAGAGGAAGAAACAGAAGATCAAGAGCAACTTCTATGCAGCTGGCCTTCCCTATTATAAACCAGAATCTCTTCTCAAAAAATGGAGTTACTATTGTCTGTTGCATATTTTTAAAAGACGAGGACCATTCTTTATTCAGCTCCTTCAGCCAATAAATATTAAACCAATTGAAGAGGTTTTGATTGATTATGAAGGTGTTTCTGATTAAATTGGTGCCGTATCATAAGACTATCTTTAGCTAATTTTAATTAGGTTGCTATGTAAATTAGGGAGAAATGCCACATTTCTCCAATACTTCTCTCCAAGGAATGCTCCTTTTAAGAAAATGAATGCATTTACAAATATTTTCTTTTTCATAAATACTGCTAAAACTTTATCCACCAAATTGATGAAAAAACACTAAATTAAAACAACGAAAAAGACTGCTTCAATTAATTGCCAAGAAGATTTAAGTAATTTTCTTTCTCAAAACTATACATTTATTCTAAAAAGTATTCTAAAATAATAAAAATGTAACATTTTCAATGTACATTAAAAAAGACGCCAGAAAGCATCAATTTTGCACAATCTTAAAAGATCTATAAAAGGTTGTAAGAACCGTTTGTACAGGGAAGGACCCTATAAGGATTCAAGTGTGTGAGCTAGTGAGCTTTTTAGATTTTACAGTTAAGAATACAATGTTTACTTTTTTTTTTTTTTAATGAAAACTAAACAAATTGAGATTGGCAGAAATTATTTAGAGGCAACCGGCTAAACAAGAATGTAGGACTCCCTATATCAGTGATGGCTAACCATTTGGGTACAGAAACTGTGCGTGCACAGCAGTGCACATACCCACACACATAATGCAATGTGGACATGACCCCCCCCTGTGCACCATGCCCCCCTGAGTATGCACACGTTCTCCCCCCCCAAGCATGTATGCGTGATCCCCCCCACCCTTTTTGGGCCTAGCAGGCCTCCCTGCAGCCCCCTGGGACTAAA